TATATATATATTATGTATATGTGTAAATGTAGCTTCCTGTTGAAGAGTGTTCTCAGTGTTGGTTTAAAGTGTAACAATGATGTTCTGTGAGGTTTGTGCTTTTAAATATTAAGAAGACAACTTCATATTTACGGTATTTCATTTGGAGTTCGGCAGTAACTGATGAACTGAAATGTTGCAGTTTAGTTTGAATTGCTTCTTTGTCAGGTGAATGCAGCTTTAAATGTGAAGAGTTATTGTTCGTATTTAAAGACTCAAACTAACTCCACCAAAGGAGGAAACATGAGACGACCCGTTTGTCTTTCTGGTTCCTGTTGATATCAAAGTTTAATGGACGCGTTTGTCTTCATAGGTTCTGGTAGTATTGATCTCTACGGTGTTCTGTTCACCAGCTAAACGTGATCCTCTGCAGGCCGAGAGGCGTTCCACTTCCTGCTCTGAATATTTGTGCTTTGTCGAGGCTCATTGGTGCCCTGAGGGTCTTCTTCTTCAGACCAGCCGGTTTAGTGTCTCATTTCTACATGTAACAGCTGAAGTACAGGTACTCGTGACAGCTACTCTATCATACTTCTGGTCATTTGCGCTAGATGCGCCGGAGAGGGGGCGTGGCTAATCGCCCTGGAAGCTGTTATTAAATTAAGCCATTTATTTCTCCGTCAACATCAAATAAATAACCTGTATTTGTGTTTAGAACTTGTTGTAGAAGTCCAGATATCCTGTAAACTAAAGGTTCATCATCAGGAGTATTCACTGTGTGTGTGTTCACTACAGCTGTATGAACACTAAAACAAACGTTCTGCTGTGATTTAATCACAAACTGATAAAAAGATGCTGAAATACATAGTGATGATGATTTGTAAAAAGTTAGAATTCATGTTTAGTTAGTTCTCTCCACAAGACGACAAGAAAATCATTTTTAAATACTTGTTTTCTGAATGGAGCTCAGATCGATCGGTGCTAAGCTAACATTGTAGCAGCTCCATCAACAGTCAACATAACGTCATCGAGGCTTAAATACGGCAGCATCTATTCATTGTTTGTACCGCCTGGTTTGTACACATTTACACACATGTATACTCATCGTTTGGTCTCTACTGATATGAGGTATCGTAGAGCTCTGAATACATCATGGTGTCACTGATGGAGGAGCATCTCAACGCTGATTGGCTATCGCGCCGCAGTGTCACAACATTTTTTGCCGATGTTGAAGAATTTCAACTCGCCATCACCAATTTGCGTCCCTCCAGTCTCATCGCGTCTCTGAGTAGACTTTGTAATCTCTGGTGTGAACGCAGCGTTACCTTTCTGTAATACTGTGAACATTCAGACGAGAGGTTAAAGTGCCACAGAGACTTTTATCTCCTCACAGATTTGTCGTGATGTCAGTGAAGGCATCGCTTCAGTCTGCTGGGTGTTACTGCCCTTCGCTCCATCTCCTCAGGCTTCAACCTCATTTTAACTTTGTTGGCTTGTTGTGAATTTTTCTTTCTGCTGCTTCTAACACGCTGTCTTCTCTTCACAGCAGTGTCCACCAAGATCTAACAGCTGGTACGAAGGTAGGAACCTCTTCCTCTTTCTCCTCCTCTTCAGCTCTCTCTAACATAAGAGTCCATCACCTTTGTATAGTTTTTGTTGTGTTCAAGGACCCTCAGACGTCAGAGCTTAATTAATCAATTAGTTAATGGACAGAAAATCAATCGGTAACACGTTTGATTAATGATCAGCTGTTGGAGGCGTGTCTTGATTGATTGATCAGCTGTTGGAGGCGTGTCTTGATTGATTGATCAGCTGTTGGAGGCGTGTCTTGATTGATTGATCAGCTGTTGGAGGCGTGTCTTGATTGATTGATCAGCTGTTGGAGGCGTGTCTTGTTTACATTGATCAGCTGTTGGAGGTGTGTCTTGTTTACATTGATCAGATGTTGGAGGCGTGTCTTGTCTACATTGATCAGATGTTGGAGGTGTGTCTTGTTTACATTGATCAGATGTTGGAGGCGTGTCTTGTTTACATTGACCAGCTGTAGGAGGCGTGTCTTGATTGATTGACCAGCTGTAGGAGGCGTGTCTTGATTGATTGACCAGCTGTAGGAGGCGTGTCTTGGTTACATTGATCAGATGCTGGAGGCGTGTCTTGGTTACATTGGGGGGGGGAGAGGGTGACTGAGGATCCTGTCACCTGAAACAACACAGACTGGATCCTGTTAAAGGAACAGTTCAGAGTTCATGTTTCCTCAGGAACATCTGGAGCAGATGTTCTCCTCAGAGGTGTGAAGACTTTGACTTATTGAGATATTTAAGAGCTGAGTTGTGTTCATCACAGTTAGTAAAGACGATGATGATGGTCTCCAGCTGGACTAAAGGGGGGGATGGGGTCTGTGGTTGGTCCTTTAAACTAGAGAGCAGCAGACTGTCTGTCCTCTGTGAGACAGACCCGGTCAGCAGCTGTCAGACAGCAGGTCCAGGTCCAGAGGAGACCAGGTCTCAGGTTTCTGCTCTTTTATTCATGAGAGGAGCTGTAAGAAGATCTGAGCTGCTTTTGTTCAGGAACACAAAGACACCAGCTGATGTTTGGTCGGTCCGATCATCACGTTGTCCAATCAGCTTCTAGTCCAGAACCAGAATCGCAGAAAGACATTTATTTAGTATCCCAGGAGATCAGGACCCAAACCTTCATCTCTAGGGTCTACTGGCTCATTTCTATGACAAAACTAAAGCAATTAATGTTCAATAAAAACACTGAAATCCACCCCGGAGCCCATCACTCATTCTCACCTCATCGTTACAATGAGATTCACAGGAGGCTTTTATTGTGAAATTCTTATTTGTCAGTGTTGGTGTTTATTTTGCACCTTTTTAAATGCTGCAGTGAGAAACGGTAGAAGAAGAACTCTGTCTGCAGAATAAGGCTCTTTGTCCACATCTGGTTTTCATTGAGCTCCACAGGAAGTGCCCCCCCCATGTTTGAGCAAGCTCATGGTGACTGTTTAAAGGACATGTTGCTCTCTACTGCCCTCTGGTGGCCGCAGGGCTTCCTGTTTTAGTTCTTTGTATGACAAATGAAAGAACTTGTGAAGGACATTCTTCACTGTTCTGTTTGATAGACTGCTGTCCTTTTGTTTCCTGACACGTCTTCTGATTAAAGTCTAAATCACATGTTAATAACTGACAGAGGAGATCAAACTGTTGTGTTTCAGAGAGGATCTGAAGAGGTTTTCCCCAGCGTCTCCAACGGCCCGTATATCATGAGCACCACAGGTCAGATGTGTTAAATATCACATTCATACTCAACAGGATCAATGGTTTCTCTGTTTTAATATCAGGAATATTACTTTATTGAGATCTTATTGTCGCTCTAAAGGCAAGATTTAGTTCTCTTGACTTTCTTCTTCTGGTATGATCGTTGATGAGATGATCACTGGTCGTTGCTTCCTGTCCTCTGTAGCCAATGGAAACGACAGTAAGAAGTTCAAAGGTGACATAAGAGGTCCCGGGGTTCCATCCAGGGTCATCCACATCCGCAAGCTCCCCAACGACATCGCAGAGGCCGAGGTGATCAGCCTCGGCCTGCCATTCGGAGACATCACCAACCTGCTGATGCTCAAAGCCAAAAACCAGGTGCAGGACTTTTACAGTTGGTGCTCTACTCACCGGTCCTGTACCGGCCCTGAACTGTCTGTACTAAACCGTCCTGTGTCCCCCTTCAGGCCTTCCTGGAGATGAACTCAGAGGAAGCAGCTCAGAACATGGTGGGTTATTACTCCACAGTGATGCCCATCATCAGGAACCATCTGGTCTACGTTCAGTTCTCCAACCACAAGGAGCTCAAGACCGACAACTCCCCCAACCAGGAGGTACACCTCACTCTATACTGTTAGCATCTCCTCTACAGCACCCATCCATCATTAGCATCTGTTAGGACCTGTACAGTGCCCATCCATCCTTAGCACGTGTTTACATGTGTCCTCTCTCAGAGGGCCCAGGCAGCTCTTCGGGCCCTCACCACGTCTCATGTGGACCCGACTATGGGGGCTCCGAGCACCGTGCTGAGGGTCGTGGTGGAGAACCTGGTCTACCCAGTCACCTTGGACGCGCTCTGCCAGGTAAATACAACAACAACAACACAAGCAGGAAACACAAATAACTTGGATTTAACCGATCAGTTTCCCGTCTGGTCCTCAGATCTTCTCAAAGTTTGGCACGGTTCTGAGGATCATCGTCTTCACTAAGAACAGTCAGTTCCAGGCTCTGCTGCAGTATGCTGACGGAGTGTCCGCCCAGTCAGCTAAACTGGTGAGCATCACATCCTGCTGGTCCCACAGCCGGCAGGAACACACACATCCTCTGATGAGTACTTCACGGTTCACTGAGCTGCTCTTCTGTGCTTCAGTCTCTGGAGGGTCAGAACATCTACAACGGCTGCTGCACTCTGAGGATCAGCTTCTCCAAACTCACCAGCCTCAACGTCAAGTACAACAACGAGAAGAGCCGAGACTTCACCAGACCGGACCTGCCCACCGGAGACAGCCAGCCCACCATGGAGCACCCAGCCATGGCCACCGCCTTCAGTGAGAGACACACACACACACACACACACGGGGGGGGGGGGGGGGGGGGGCGGACTCGCACACGTTGAGCCTGTAGTTCAGGTGTGTCTCCTCTGCAGCTCCAGGTATCATCTCAGCTGGTCCGTACGGTGGAGCGACTCACAGCTTCCCACCAACCTTCACCCTCCAACCTGCTAGTGAGTCTCACCTGTTCAGGTTCATGTTGCTCTGTGCACCTGTGATAATGTTTCTGACCACATTCAAATATCTCACCATGTTTCATCTTAATAATTATTTGTAAAGAGAAACATTGTTTAACAGATCAAAATTAATCTACTTTTAGAAAACATGTCACTTGAGGTGAGAATACGTTTCGGAGGATTAAGACATCGATAGACAGGAAATAGATGATTCTGGATCACGATAACTTTATCATTTTACTAATTAAAATTTCATAATTTATTTTACATTTTAATTACTAAAATTCATTTTATAATTTTTAATACTTTTTTATAATTTCAAAATAATTTCAATATTTTTTTTATTGAAATTGTATTTGAAAAATGTTGAAAAAAATAAATCTAAATGAACATCAGGAATTATTTAAATTTTAAAATGAATAATTTAATGAATAATTTAATTATTGATTCATTATTAATTATTTTAAATAGTTTTTAAACATATGTTTTCATAATCATTACATCATTAAGTCAGAGGAGTAAATGATCTACCTGTTAAAATACAAATGTTTCATTTATCTCATCTGTTTTAATCTCTAAATATTTACTTGGATCAGTTTACCGTTAGAGTAACATGTTTCAAGTGTTTCCTTAAAGGGCCAGTGTGTCGTTAAACATCAACCATTCATAGTGTCAGCTGACTAAATAAACTAATAGAAACATACTTAATAATATTATATTCCATATTCTGCCAATAGGTCCTTAAATGCATCACACTGTCCCTTTAAATGCAGTAAACTTCTGACAGCCAATCACATCTCTGCTCATGTTGATTAAAATTTCAAAATAAGAGCGTGCTGTAATTCTCAAGACGACCCAGCTGTGGTCTCATTGGTGTCTCACCCCTCCCACCCGTCTCACCTGTCCCACCCCTCTCACCTGTCTCACCCGTCTCACCCCTCCCACCTGTCTCACCCGTCTCACCCCTCCCACCTGTCTCACCCGTCTCACCCCTCCCAGTGTCCTCCCACTACCCAGGCCTGGTCCCCGCTCTGCCCGGGGCCCTGGCCTCTCTGGCCCTCCCCGGGGCCTCCAGACTGGGGTTCCACCACCACCTCTCATCTGGAGTCTCTGTCCTGCTGGTCAGCAACCTGAACCCTGAGGTGAGTGCTTCTCTCTGTCTGTCCGTCTTCTTCTTCATCTGATAGATAAGACCACTAAACCTCCTGCTCCTGTGTGCAGTGCATTGTGGGTCAGCAATGGTTATTATCAACATGTCGGACAAAAACAGAACATGTAGACGAACAACGTTTTAGAGTGTTGACACACACACACACACACACAGGCTGACTGACACGCACACACAGAGACACATAGGCAGAGACACAGGCAGACACAGAGACACATAGGCAGAGACACAGACACATAGGCAGAGACACACACACAGACACAGAGGCAGAGACACACACACAGACACAGGCAGAGACACACACACAGACACAGAGGCAGAGACACAGAGGCAGAGACACACACACAGACACAGAGGCAGAGACACACACACAGACACAGAGGCAGAGACACACAGACAGACACAAAAATGACTTCCTCTCTAAAGGTAATTAACCGTCTGATTGACCCCCCCCCCTCACCTGTCTCTCTCTCTCTCTCTCTCTCTTTTTTCCCCTGTTTAATTTGTTGCCATGGAAACGGACCCTCCCACCTTTACCTCTCTAAAGAGAGTCACGCCCCTCTGCCTCTTTGTTCTCTTCGGTACGTTGTCACTCGCTTTTTATTTTGAAATTCAGTCACTTGTTTGTTTTGATTTTAACTTCCTGTTTTTAGAGTTTTATTTTGTCACATTCTGTGTTTTGAGCTTATTCACAATATCTAATTATTAATAAAAGTTTAGTCTTCAGGGCTGTTGAGGCCCAAACCTGAGGAAAAAAGACACTTTGTTACAGATTAAAATGTTAACAAAAATAAGAGGTATAAATAAATAAATATGTGTATGTGTGTATATGTGTATATGTGTATATGTGTGTATATGTGTATATGTGTATATGTGTATATGTATATATGTGTATATGTATGTATATATGTATGTATGTGTGTATATGTATGTATATGTATATGTATGTATATGTATATGTATGTATATGTGTATGTATATATGTATGTGTATGTATATATGTATGTGTATGTATATATGTATGTGTATGTATGTATGTATGTATATGCGTATGTATGTATGTATATGCGTATGTATGTATGTATATGCGTATGTATGTGTATGTATATGCGTATGTATGTATGTGTATGTATATG